TTTCAATCAAAAATATTTTTTCAACCAAACAATAAATCAATTCAATCAAAAAAATAATTTCAATCAAAAATATTTTTTCAACCAAACAATAAATCAATTCAATCAAAAAAATAATTTCAATCCAAAAAAGTTTTATCAACCAAACAAAAAAGCTATTTCAGTCAAAAAAAGAAAAAGAAAAAGAAAAAAGAATCAAAACGTTTTTTGCAAAACAGAAACTTTTGGTTGAATCTCAAACTTTTGGTTGACGCTTTAAGTTTGTGGTTGAACTCAAAAAAGATTTGAACTCAAAAGTCACAAACTAGGGGAGTGGTGCAGAGAGGCTGAGCTTGTGATCTGAAGGTAGCTGGTTCGACTCCAGGTTATGCTCTGTGTTTCATGTGTGTTCACATGTGTGATGGGTTAAATTTAGAGACTTTAAAGAAAACTATTATGCAAAATTCACTTTTTAAAAGTTTTTTTTACTCAACTTTGGGTATGTACTTCTTAAAAAACAGTCCTAGGACTAAAATATTACACCCAGGGGCATATTTACTGTAAGTAAATGTATTTTTAATGTATATTAATGACAAGTTTTATACTTCCTACATTTTGTGATGTCACAAGCCGTACGACAACCCACCGGAACCTGCGTTCAGCCCCTTACCTAGCAACCCCCAGGTGAGGCTCCACCTCCAGTAGAAAAAGCCGTCACAGTGTTGTTGTGCAATGTGTGTCTGATTTTACAACAAGCTTTCCAATAGCACAATGGGTAGTGTGTTGGCTCAGCGAGTGGGAGACCAGGGTTCAAGACTGACACAGACACATAATTTAATTATTTATTTTCGTTCGTTATGAACACGTTTTCTCATGTACCTCTATTGTTTAGCTTATTAAAGCCTTGTTAAAGCCTATTTGTTCGAGTTTCTGAAGTATTTTGACCGCTGCTGCTCACATTACCTACCCTGATAACAGCATGCAGAGTGAGCGCAGAACTCCGACACAGGAGGAGGGGTAGAAAAAAAAAAGCTGCGACCACGACTCTGCCTCTGGGTCTGACTCAGGGTCTCATACTGTATATACGGTTGTACAACGGAGCTTCTGCTATCGCTAGCCATGCTAAAGTAAACGCTGGCTTTGGAGGGCGGAGTTAATGTCAACAGATTTTTGGAGGGCGGAGTTAATGTCAACAGATTTTTGGAGGGCGGAGTTAATGTCAACAGATTTTTGGAGGGCGTTACCAACAGAGCTCATTAACATAAACAGCTTGTTCTGAACGGAAGTCAGAGCAGGCAGAACTAGAAAATGGGAAATTTTATTATCTGAGAATTATTTTGTGCATTAAATTGAATGAACATKGTCTGGATAGCCCACAGACATACCATAAAAATTTCTAGGGCCCGTAATTGGTCTCCTTTAATTTTCCCACCAGGGGATCAATAAGTACATGATAAACATCCGGGGCGTGATCTAAGGGGCGACTATGTAAGAGCATACTGGGGTGGGAGGTGGGGTGTCCCTCCTTCATGCAAAAGAGGGACAACAGAAAATCAARAGTTTTGTGGGGAGATTTTCTGTTGTCCCCCCTTTGCATGAAGGACATGATGATGTTGTCCCTGGATAACACCCCACCTTCCACCCACCACGCTCTTACATAGTCGCCACTTTGATCCCGTGGTAAGATGTTTATCGTATACTGTATTGATCCTGGTGGGGGGAAGTCTCTGCATTTAACCCATCACGCATGTGAACACACATGAAACACAGAGCATAACCTGGAGTCGAACCAGCTACCTTCCGATCACAAGCTCAGCCTCTCTGCACCACTCCCCAATTTGAGACTTTTGAGTTCAAATCTTTTTTGAGTTCAACCAAAAACTTAGTCAACCAAGAACTTAAAGCATCAACCAAAAGTTTGAGATTCAACCAAAAGTTTCTGTTTTGCAAAAAACATTTTGATTGTTT